TGACAAAAGTGCTCATCATAGCTGAATGGTAGACTAAGGGACACATCACTAGTGTATCGCCAGGGTTTCTATCCAGCGGGGTAAGTACCAATCCACACAATTCGTCCTTCACCTTGGTCACATCCGCTATGGTCAGCCTATCCCTACTCGGACAAGATTTCATCACACAATCGAGCAACCGATTCTCAGCAATAGTAGGACACTCCCCCTCCCTCGCACGCTTTCGAAAGCAAACAGGCAATTCGCATTCCATAATCCCATCGTTAATCACCTTGAAGTTCCTAAGTTTCACTAATCGTACTCGATCATCAAATTTAATTCCGAAAGATCAAATCAGCAGGCATACTCAGGCCAAACTTATCACGGACCACACGAGATATCAAACGTCTCAAATACTTGCGCGTAGATTTTCTACTAAAATCTTTAGTCATTTTATACAAGCGCAGAGTAGACTTCAACCCCCAAGCATAGATCGCGTTTAGCTTATTCGGGTTCCTCAATATCCCAAGCAAGACTTGCTTGAGGAAACCACCCTTCCTTTTCCACGATCGGCGATACTCGATGAAGACGTCCCCACCCTCTTGGAATCTGCTCTTGCAGTTCTTCAGTGGTACGACACCAGCTGCAGTCTTCACGGACGAATTCCCGAACTTCCTTCGTATCTTCTTCCACCCACATGTCCATGTGTTACCTCCACTCGACACTATTGTCAATCTCCGTAACCCTAAACCATCCTTGATGTTCAGGATTTCAAGAAGATCGAGTGTCCAACCTGCTTCATTCAATGGTCGAAATCGGATAGGGCAAATACTTCGGCAATCCCAATGCTCAGTCGTACCTGTTACCAGACTCCTCTCCTTCCTCCCCTTCCGTCGCTTTTTCCTGCCTTGCGTATTTCTCTTGCATCCAGTCGTGTTTAGAAGCGGAGACCATTGCTCAATATAGACGTCTTCGAGTTTCAGCAGTTCGGCATCACCACCAGTCTCGACATCGATGGGCATCAACACGTAGCTGTCGTGACCGAACGTGCATAGCCATCTGTGGAAGTGCGATCTCTTCTTATTCCGGCATGAGGACAGGTGCTCTCGCCAGCGGGTATCAACTTCCCGTGTGGTCTTTGCCCACATACTGATGTTTACAGAAAGGTGATACCGCGACGTACACACAATTCCTCAAGCTCAAAAATTTAGGTCCATAGGTTTCGTACAAGCTCCTCCAGGATTCGACGATCTTCTTAGTCCACTTAATCTCACCTCGAAAAGACAACAATAGGATACACAGTCGAAGTAACTCCTCTGCTCCAGGATCTACATTCTTTCGGTCACCCCGGTAGTCAGTAATTGTACGCACAATACGCCATATCTCGTCAACTCCGTAGTTACATCAAACCTCGGACTCTTGATCAACGTCCTCCACGGTTGCTGGTAGGTCCTCGCTCTTCGCCATCTTATCCGCCAGGACCACTGGTTCAACTTCGCCGAAAGCCTTACGCGTACGATGGCTCGCGATGTCGAAGATTGCGTCAACTTTGCCATTGTATGCGATACCTTCACTCTTACATGCTGCTTGTAGTTGCTGTGCGTCCATATTGTGGAGTTCTTCCATGACTTGGTTGAGAAATCTCAGCTTCGCCACAGTACCCTGCTGCCCTGGACTCTTACCCTTCGCCGTGTACGGTGACACCTTTGTTTTCATTTTTGCCTTAGATCTGGTAACACGTAAGACGCCGCCACTGGTCTTCTTCTTCTTCACCCTCAGGGTACGTTTAGCTGGCGTAAGCATCGGAGGACTATTTTCAAGCACTAGCTCTGCTCCACGCTTTCGCTTCTCGCTTATGACTAGGCGTCTCGTCTTCGTTTGGATTTCCTTGGTGGCGCTTCCCCCGCTACCATGGCCAGAGCTCAATCCTTCATCCGACACGTAGACAACTTGCTTCTTGCCTTTAGCTATCTGTCCGAGGGCGAGAACAGGACCCAGGTTTGCCTCCATCCTATCAAAGAATTCCCCCGTCTTTATCGCCACCTGTAGTTGCACCTTCTTATCAATCTCGGCTACTCTCTCCTCATTTTTTCTTTGCTTCTCAATCTTCTTCCGTGCCTTCTTTTCTCGATCCAACTTTTTAGCTTCTCTCCGTTGTTCCTCCTCCTCTGCCCCTCGCCTCAATCTCTCCTCCTCGGCTTTCTTCGCCTTCTCTGCTTGGACAAATTCGGACATAGTTGCCAAACTTTTACCAAGTTCTTCGATTTGACGCCTCAATTCCGGGTCTTGGGAAGAAGACCTGCTCGACCCCAATTTATCGTCCTTCTTTGGTGAGGTAGATCGGCACCTTCACGAATCATACGACGTAGATGGCAGTCTGTCCGGACCCCGCCATCAATCCCTACACTGGTTGGCGTAATGGCCTCTCTCTCCGCACGAGAAACGTCTTGGTGACGACCTTCTGTAGTAGCGCTCCCCTCCACGATCATAATTCCGATCCCTGTAGTGTTCACGCTCACTAATCTCGGTAATTGCTCTCCGAGGAAGTTAACGTGTGCAGTATCAGAGTGCATGATACAAGGTATGAGAGAAACTCATCATATAGTCAGCGTTGAGACGCAAACATGAGTCAGCGTCAAAGACGCAAACACAGTACATAAAGTCGAATGAATTAGGAATTGAAAAAATCAACACGATTCAGGAACGGCGTCCCCGACGCCGCGTTTCGGCAACAGCCACGTTGCCGTCATCAG